GAGAGAAGCCGTTTACATGCAAGTATTGTAAAAAGTGCTTTAGCCAGTCATCGCATTGCAAACAACATGAACGAACTCACGAAGAGTTTAGCCTTGGAAGCATTGTAAAAAGTGTTTATTTTGACCTCGCGGCAAAATGCTTGCCGCGTGACCTTAGCCAGTCATAAGGTTACAAGCAACATAAACGAACCAAAGGACTAAATGTGGCCCTTAATTTTCTACCAGTCGTTTTAGTTTTTATTTTGACCTCGCGGCAAAATGCTTCTTGTACAGTCCTTGAAGGGTTTTGATTAAGCCTTCTAAAATTATAATACTCAAATGTACGTATGCCAGGAATAAAGCTGCTTGCAACTTTTTATATAGCCAATTGGAGAAAGAAATATTATTGTATTGATTCTTGACCAACAATGCGTGGAAACATTTCAATTAATTACTTGTTGGTCTAAAGTCAATCATCAGAGAAACTGTCTGCGAAATTTTAGATCCATAGCTCTTAACATTCAAGGTANGTGTTTTAGCCAGTCAACAGATTGCAAGAAACATGAACGAACTCACACAGGAGAGAAGCCGTTTACATGCAAGTATTGTAAAAAGTGCTTTAGCCAGTCATCGCATTGCAAACAACATGAGCGAACTCACGAAGAGTTAAGCCTTGGAAGCATTGTAAAAAGTGTTTATTTTGACCTCGCGGCAAAATGCTTGCCGCGTAACCTTAGCCAGTCATAAGGTTACTAGCAACATGAACAAACCAAAGGACTAAATGTGGCCCTTAATTTTCCACCAGTCGTTTTGGCTTTTATTTTGACCTCGCGGCAAAATGCTTTTATTTTGACCTCGCGGCAAAATAATTGTTGTACAGTCCTTGAAGGGTTTTGATTAAGCCTTCTAAAACTATAATACTCAAATGTATGTATGCCAGGAATAAAGCTGCTTGCAACTTTTTATATCGCCAATTGGAGAAAGAAATATTATTGTACTGATTCTTTACCAACAATGCGTGGAAACATTTCAATTAATTACTTGTTGGTCTAAAGTCAATCGTACAGAGAAACTGTCTGCGAAATTTTAGATCCATAGCTCTTAACATTCAAGGTACAGGAATGATTTATTTAATTACAGAATATGTATACGATGGGAACACTATTCAGGGAATGTATGAGAGCATGCTGCATTCAATTGCCAATTCTTTTCTATCGATGTTCTCACGCCCTCGTCTCCTCAACTCGTGTAACCTGTCTCTTTGGCGCCCGAAAAGATGTCTGGTCTGTCTGGCTATCGTTGGTCATGACTGCAAGTTGCCCAGTTTACAGGTAGCTTTTTAGAAAGATTTTAAAAAGAATAGACCCTGTTGGAAGAAGGGGTCGTACTACTCAATCTGTGTGAAACCGCAAATCGATCAGGCATGAAACATAACGCTGGGTAGGACTGACATTTTACATTGAAGCCCCGCCTTACGGTCACCTCGTTAATACGGTCACCTCGTTTTTTTACGGTCACTTTTTGTTGTCCCGGAGAAACGTCCATACATTTTCTTATAAGAAAACCCCGTTAATGCGGCCACCAAGATAATGTGGCCACTCCGTAAGGCGTTAATGCGGCCATCCCGTTAATACGGCCAACGGCCACATTGTGAAATCTCATACGGCCATTGAAACCAGCTATGTTCATCTTTCCATTGTTAATATATATCAACACAGATACTATCCCAGCCCAAATAATGCATGTAGATCTTCTCTTGAAGTAAATAAAAGAATAAAAAGTCTTTTGGACCTTTTCTTTTGAATTTTCCCTAGTGTAAGCTATCTCTTTGAAAGTTTAGCAAGGTAAAAAAACGCGGGCAAATTGTGTTGATTATACGGTCAAAATGCAAAAAAAAAAACTTACAGAGGCGTATCTGATTGAAATAAATTACACTGGTTTATAACATACTCTGCCCTGGACAATTTTCATGGAGGAGACGTCTCAAAATTTGTCCCAAATTTAGCAAGAAGGGCACTGTCAGTTGAAAGGTCATACATTTTTCCCTTTAACGCATTACATGGCAATATTTTTACAAAAGTTTCCCGACATTGTACCAAATCTTAAAAATAAGCTTGCTCAAGCCCTTAGATTTCATCAGTTTCTTTCCACTTTCCTAAATTTAATGGCTTGGTTTAAGGCGGATTGGCTGTGCTAGACTGTTTGGTAAGCCGAGACAACAACGAACTTCGAACGACAGTGTACAGGAAACCCACGCATACCGACAGAATTCTTGACGAATCATCCTAGAGTCCGACTTCACACAAAGCCACTACTATCAAGACTCAATGAGACGAGCGCGACAAATTACGTGACGAACAACTATAACGCTGACTTAATTAGACGAAACATTCACCAACCTACCGTGTACTGAAGCTGACGCAACGAACAGAAACCCGATACCTGTTACTGCAGTGACTAAACCTAACATGAAGGGCTTTTCTTCTTCTACAGCATCCGTGTAGCACAAAAGCCTACGACTACGTTAGGACACTTACAGTAATAGGCCCTTTGCACGATCCGGTCACATGGTACAAAATCACACATACTGGGATGCAAGTTGCGCAGTGGGACTCCCAAACCAAAGGCAGGTCAAGGTGGACTGGTACGAGTTGCTTTTTTTTTAAGTCCCATTGTGCAACTTGCGTCCCAGCACGTGTGATTTTGTACCATGTGACCGGATCGTGCAAAGGGCCTATTTCTCACCACGTTAAAGACAGGGACGAACCCAACAAGCAGGCAGGAAGCAGTTTACAAGATCAAATGCTTCGACTGCCAGGCATTGGTGAGTCTCTGAAGCTGTTACAGTCTCCCTATTTTTTCCGCCAGCCCTGTCCTCCACCACCCCTACACACGGGCATTTTGTACTCTCTCCAGTGTCGCTCGCATCAAAAGACCAAGATGGCGGCCCGTGGAGTTCAACTATCGACATCTACGATGTCACGGAAAAATAGGGGACTGTGAACAGTCTAAATTATGTCCGATTGGCAATATGCATAAGATTTAATTTCCCAGTAAAGATTATTTGCAGGACTTTACTTGGAATTATTCTTTTCCGCCTGTGTAATCTCCGTGTAAACTTTCCCAGTCAAACACGAAGTTCTTCGCCGTTTCGTGTTCAATTCGCATTATCATTCAAATAAGTTGCAATTGTTAACAAATTAAACAGAGGCTTTTATGGTTCGACGGAGCTTAATAAGGCTGATTAAATAATGGCTTTAAATTGATAGATATCATAGTGTAATATTCGTGTGAGCAGTTGCTTCTTGTAGTGAGTGTTAACGACACCAGTTGATACGGTAAGGAAAAAAATCGAACTTATACCATTTACTTATTTATGATGTAACCATTTTGTTGTGAATGTGTATCAATACACCTTTTACTAGTTAAATTTGCTGTGTTATTAGGTCACAGTTGCCGGCCCGTCTTTCATTTTTAACGATGTTAATAACATGGTTTAATTATCGTATCTTTTGCTAAGTTCAAAAACCAAACTTGCATTTGTATGGAGAAAATATTTAAATGAAAGTATTTGAAAACGCGTGTTGCACCGTTGCTTCAAGATTTGTGCCCGGTTCTGTTTTACCTATGAAAAAAGAATCATTTTCACAGAGCTCGTCAACTTTAACCACTAAATAATCATAATTTCTCTGCATTCTTCGTTTGATCGCTTTTTGCAAAGAAAACCGTTGGCTGAGTTAATATTGAAATAAAAGAGAATGTCGTTCCCTCAAAACGACATTGCATAGACGTCGAAATCAACAATAGTCTATGCATCAAAGAAACAATAGACGCAAGCATTGGGAAATCTTCTATCAAGTTATTGTGGTTAAGCAACCGATCTAGAACAATAACATTATTGTCTCATGTGCATCTTATTTTTTTGCTCTTGAGCTGGAAATATTGCTCTCATAATTTACCTTATGTTTGGTGTCCAAAAGAATTATTATTTAATACAACTGGAATATTTTTAGACTTAGTGTAAAATGCTGATGTTATTGTCATTTGCTGTCCTACTGGTATTGCTTGGATCAAGTCATGGTAAGCTAATTCTTCTTTTTCCTTTGTCTGTCAATAGAGAGCAAAATTATACATCAATAAGCAATCAGAGGAGAAATATAGGTTGAAAAAATAATTTGAAAAAGTGACCCGGTATGATAAATCCCGCTGCCAAGCCATAATAAAACAACTTCTAAAGACTACAAGATAACATTCTTTTTTTCAGAAAGAACTATTTTTTCAATTTTCGATCTCATTGTCGCTTACTACATCTAACTATGTGAAATAAAACTAAAAAAAAATTTGTCCTTGACTAAAGATATAAAATGGGAAATTTTGGGTTAAAATACTGTGACATTATTGCTGAAGAAGGTTGCAGTATTGTTGCTTTAACGTCCCACTTTATAATTCTTAGTAAATGATAACAATTTTGAGTAGTTTTTAGTTTTTTTAATATCATCACGTCTGACTACTAGGATAATTTCATACATCTAACCATGTTTAGCTCAAAATCAGGTTTTGATAAATTCAAATCGGTGACCAAAAACTGCTACCGTGCTGGATCAAGATTGTTTCATATTAGCGCTAATCGCGCGTTCTGAACAAGCGAGCCCAGACTAAGTTTTTTTAAGGATTTGGTTAAGCTTGCCCTTACGCACCAGCTATGAAAACACAAGGTGTTGCTGTGCTCCGGGCCAGTAAGTGCTGAGCCAAACCTTCTCGCATTATGTCT